AGAGAATCAGCACCAGGTGGGTGTCAGTCACTTTCATCAAAGCACTCCTCTCATGAATTACCTCCCAAAGGACCTAGTACCGTCTCATTGGGGATTAAGGATTCAACATGTGGATTTTGGGGAGAGACAAGCATTCACACTATAGCATACACATAGCTCCTTTACTTTGGTGATTCCTCCCTCTTAAAGACTTAGAGAAGACTTCCCTGACTGTGCACCACCCTGTTACCCCCCAGTTTAGATTAGGTCCCTTCTTGCAGACTCTCAACAGAGCCTGTGCTCACCCTCAACATTCATCTTGCTGTATTGTAATCGTAATCGTGTTGCGGGTTTAACAGTTGTGAACACTTGAGAATGAGATTTATCCTTCTCTGCCCTCACACCCAGCACAGAGCCCAGCATATAGGTGTCTGTTAAAGGCATTTGGATTGAAGGAGAGGCTTAGGGCACATGGAGAGAGGTTGAAGAATTACGTGGGCCTTTCAGATCCTTATGAGCTAGCCTGGACGGTATGTGGGGTTCACAGGCGAGTGGGCTCCCTGGCACTGGCTTCATTGCTGCTTTCTATGAGGAAGGTTTTTCCCTTGAGAGGAATCGTAACCAATGGAGGTTAAAGGGAGTAATGAAGGAACTCTTAGACTCTTCAGTGGAAGCAGCTTTTTTCCCTTGGTCTATTTACCTCGCACATAGTCATAAAAATTTTAATATGTTATCTGAAAACAATTTATATTCATTTTAGAAAACTTAGAAAATACATTGCAATTTAAAAAATTAATGTCACCCACCATCTATAATCTAGAGGGAACTACTTAAAATTTTTTTTCTGCAAAGATGAGGCCTCACTCTGTCACCCAGGCTGGTGTGCAGTGTCAGTTATATTCACTGCAGCCTTGAACTCCTGGCCTCAAGTGGTCCTGCTGCCTCAGCCTCCTGAGTTGCTGGGACTACAGGTGTGCGCCACCACACCTGGCTGTTTATTTGTATTGGTATTTTTTCGATTCATGTTTGGACATAATTGGGATAATACCAATTACATATGGCTTTTTATCCTTCTCATTTTACTTAACATTTTATTTTGAGTTTTTTTCCCACTTTGGTAAAAATTTTTAGTAATAAGAAAATTTTAATTACCATTTAACTTATTCAATCAACAGCTGTTTCTTAAATAGCTGTTAGGCTCCAGATCTTACTTTAGGCATGGGATATAGCA